TAAGCTTAAGAGGAGGGACTATTTCATTTTTGTCTAGCAACTACACAATTTAATAAATACTTTTTGAATTCAGTTCAATTGCAAAGTTCCAGCTTGATACTGGTTAAATATAGAGGTTATTTCTGTGGAAGACTGGTCTAGTTAAGTACAGAATTACTCATCACCAGAAACTGTCAGTAGGTGGTGAATTCTTCAGCCACAGCAACTTTAGAAAGGACCTTATATATCCTCCAAAGCAAGGTGACATAATATTTTGAAATGTGGTAACATTAATATGAAAGTAGGTATAGGGAACAATAGTGAAAAATACAGTGAAAAAATAGTGAAAACAAGATTTGGGAAGGGAAAGAGGCAAAAGTCTCCAGGGAATACTTTCTCTAAGAAAAGAGTTGAAAAATTTCAGACAGGGCAATCACTATACAAAATCACAAAAAAAGTTTAATTGGCTATAATTGAATGACAGGAAATGAAAAGTTATTATTGTGGGCATTATTTCACAATCAACTATCAGTGCACAGTTAGAGACTATCTGGTCAGAGCAAAAAGAAAATTAACATTAAAATTTTGGAAAAAAGAATGATGATGAAAAGATAGATCCAATCTGAATCATTTAAATATACAGATGACTAGGAAAGGTGGGAAATGACTCAGGGGGAGGGGAAATACATTAACTGTCATTATTTATGAGATAAAATTAATCTAAACTGATGATGTGCTATAAAAAGGAGGTAAAATGAAGTCTGGAAATGGCTATAACCAACAAACACTTTTCCTTGACAAGTAGAGAGACATGGTAACCAAAGGCAAAGTCAACAGTATGAATATAAATTAATATGTAAAACATTATCAGGAATAGGATGATGGAAAAGTATAAGCAGTTTGGCCTCAGAAAAAGCATAATAACATGGAAGGAGGAAAAGTATCCCACAGAAAGCTTGGCATGAGACTCAACTAAGCCAGATCATCCTGAAAACATTTATAAAAGAAACTGGAAGGACAAATAGAGATGTGAAACTGAACAGATGTCTTAGTACTTCTCTACTTTTCCAGTGTTTTCACTGATGACACTGGAATGACTGTCTTTTTGGATGGTAACATCAGTATCTACCATGTAAGGAAGTAAATACGGAATTTAAGTTAATTAGATTGGGAAAATTGCCAGCTCTGATAAAAAAGAAAGAGGAAATGCAAACTGGGGTTGACAGTCTTAAAGGCACTCAACATCAGTAATTACTAATACATATGATTACTTTTTCAGTTTAACAAAATCTACCCATCTATCTCTCAGATACCATGAGTTTCCAGTGGCTCTAGATGCCTCTGCTCCATGACTTACTCCAGCGGTGATCAGGAATGGAGCAGGTGATGGTAACTGAGGTTTAAGCACCAGCAGAGCCTAACTGACAGGAGGACCAGGGCAGAGGAGGTGGACATTGAAGGGTAGAAAACATGAGAGTTCAAATGTTTAACTCTAGGCTCAAGTTGTGTGAAGGGAAGAACTAGCTAAGGAGAACAGGAAGGAATTGAAGGACTCCAAGTGGTTCAGTCAAGCCAGCAAGTCGACAAGCATTTATTAAGTGCCTACTATTTGTCAGTCACTATGCTAAGCACTGGGTATACAAGCAAAAAACCTTCAAGGAGCCACGCTCTAATGTGGGAAACAGTATACAAATAACTGTACATATAAGATTTATATGGACAAACTGGAGATCATCCCAAGAGAAGGTACTAGCACATGGCATCTTATAAAAGGTGAGATGTCAGCTGAGGCTTGAAGGAAGCCAGGGGAGCCCGGAAGAGATGAGAAGGGAAAAAAGTCCAGGTGTGAGGAAAAGTCAGTAAAAATGCAGGGAGTGAGGAGAGGGGAGTGTCAGCAAGGAGTCCAATGTGATTAGATCATAGAGTATGTGGAGGGCAGTGAGGTGTAAGATTGGAGAGATAGGAAAGGACCAAGTATGAAGGGCTTTAAAAGCCAAACAGAGGATTTTATACTTGAGCCTAGAGGTAACAGGGAGTAAGTGGAATTTTTTGAATTGGGTTTGGGGAAGGTAGTGGTGCTGATATAGTCAGATCTTCGTTTTAGGAAGATCAGTTTGACGTCTAAGTGGAAAATGGAGTAGGGAGAGACAAGCAAAGACCAACCAGCCAGCTAGTGGAACAGTGCAGGCATAATGAGGGCTTGTACCAGTGTGGCAGCTGTGTCAGAGGAGAGAAAAGGGTAAATATGAGAGATGTTAAGAATACAGAATCAACAGGACCTGGCAAAAGATTGGTAGGGGGTTCGAGAGACTAAGGAGTCAAGGAAAACATTCCACATTGAATCAGGTGTGTTCATAGGTGGCAAGCATGGGTAAATGGGAGGATGGTGGTGTCCTCAACAGTAATAGGGAAGTTTGGAAGGAGGGAGGGTTTGCGGGAAAAGATGAGTTCAGTTTTGTTGAGTCTCAGGTGTCTATGGGCCATCCAGTTTGAGATGTTCTATAGGAAGTTGGAGATAAGGAAGGGTTAGGGCTTGATAAGTAAATTTAGGAATTATTAGCACAGAGATGAAAATTGAAATCTACGAGAGCTGATAAGATCACTATGTGAAACAGCACAGAAGGAGAAGACATGAGGGCCCAGGAAAGAGACTTGGGAGATACCCGTGGCTCTACAGATGAAGATCCAGCAAGGCAGGCGAAGGAACAGCCATCAGACAAGTAGGAGAAGGAAAGAATAGTGTAAAGAAGGAGTAGAGGTAAGAGAGCATCAAGGAGAAGTTGAGTGATCAACAATGTCAAAAGCTGCAAAGAAGTCAAGAAAGATTGAGAAAAGGCCACTAGATTTGATAACTAGGNGATCAACAATGTCAAAAGCTGCAAAGAAGTCAAGAAAGATTGAGAAAAGGCCACTAGATTTTATAACTAGATCACTGGAAACTTTGAACACAGCAGTTTCAGTTGAATGATAAGGTTGGAAACCAAACTACTGAGAGGTAACAATGAGAAGAAAGAAACTAAAGGTACTAATTGCAGACTGCCTTCTCAGAGAGACATGACAGCTAGTGGGTATGGATGAATCAAAGGGGGTAGGGTGGGAATGAGGAATTGAGGGATCAGAGGTTGAAAATGGGAGAGATTTGGCTGTGTAGGCAGCAGGAAAGTCCCCAGTAGATAAGAAGAGACTGAAGATTAGTGAGACTATGGGAATGATCAAGGGGGTCAATATGCTGGAAGAAGACAAGATAGAATGGGATCACTTGTGCATATGGAAGGTTTTGCTTTGGCAAAGAGAATGATCACCTCCTCACGTGAGATAGGAATTAAGGGGAAGGTAGTAGCGGAAGGCATGTGGGTGATATGAGATGAGGAGGAGGTGACAAAAAGCAACTCTTGGGAAAGGCCTTAATTTTCTGAGAAGGTAGGAGTGTGGGAGGTCTGGGAAGGGATGAAAAGGTTTGGAAAAGCCACTATGGTGAGTGTTCTGGACAGTGAATCGTTGCCTTGCTACGAAGTTGACGCTGTGATGGGTGTCAAGTAGAGATTACATCATAAATTTGTAGTGGCCTCACTCATCACTCTTCGGTGATTTTTTCCCAACCTTGTTCGATATGCCGTGAAGACAATAGATGATGGGAGCAATCTAAGACTGGGCCTTAGCAATGCAATCCTGGCAACTGGATGAAGCTGCAGGGGACTTGAGAAGAAAAGCATCGAGTTGAACGCATTCCCTAAGGAGTGAAGATGAGGGAGGAGAGTGTAGTTAGTGCAGAGGTGATGGCCTAGGGAAGAACTGAGGGTTGGAGAGATTGGAGGGCACAGTGAGGACAAACGATAGGCTTAAGGGTTGTTAGATAGAGGGGAAAATGGAATGACAAAAGATTATGATCAGATAAAGGAATTTCAGAGTTCGTGAACAAGGAAATAGAGGAGTTGTGGCTGAAGGCAAGAGCAAGGGTACAGGACCACTTCTATAAGTATCTGAGAAAAAGTGGAGCAGGAGGTCATGGGAAATGAGTAGCTGAGGAACTGAGAGGCTGGAGTCTTCAAAGGCATATTAATATTAATATGTATGTTGAAGCCCTTTGGTGTGAGGGTAGAAGTGGAGGAAGAGACGAAGACTGAGTTAGGCACTTAATTCAATGAGAAAGGAAGGAGAATATTCTGGAGATCAACAGATAACTCTACCAGAATCCTGACTGGGTAATAAATACAGCCTGAATGGACCTCAAAAGAAGAAAAGTTCCTGAGTGATGCTGGTACAGGGAGTGTCTGGGAATGGCAAGGGGTTTAGGAGAAGTGAAATAAGACTGCTGGAAAGGACAGGGAAACAACGTTCAGAAAGGAGAATCCCAGAATTCAAGACCAAGGAGATGGTGCAGTTTGGAGGTAATGCTAAGGTCTAAGGTGGAACTGTGTTTATGAGTGGCTATGGTAGAGCAGAGGTTTAATTCATGGGAATTAAGACTTATGAACTGAGAGGCTAGTATTCTTGAGAAGACAACAACATGTGCTCAGAAATAATCTCCTCCAGGAAAGAGTCTTAACTTTTTTTTGTCATGGATCTCTTCTCAAAACTTTTTTAAACGTATAAAATAAAATGCATAAGAATTCAAAGGAAGCAAAAAATAAGTTCATGGACTCCAAGTTAAGAGCCCCTGATCTACTCCAGCATTTTGCAGATGAGGGAATTGAGGCCCAGAAAGGCTTTATGACTTGCCTAGTCACAGAGATAAGAAAGAGCAGTGAAACTGAAAACAGTATGCTTCGATTTGCATTCAGACTCCATAGTTCTTTCTCTGGATGTGGATAGCATTTTCCATCATGAGTCTTTTGGAATTGTCTTGTATTATTCCATTGCTTAGAGGAGCTAAGTCTATCAAAGTCAGTCATTACACAATGTTGGTCATCACACAATGAGCAACATACTTTTAACAATTCCTACAGTCTACTTTGTAGAAAGTTTCAATTACTAAAGGGCCTATTAAATGAAAGGTAATTACATTTACTTGTATAACTTACATTTTTCTTGTTAAAAGAGCTCTCTTCCAGTTTTTCCACAGCAAGAATGTTTCTGATTGGAATGGTATAAATTGCATCTTTGCCTAAAAGAATGAAATGGATATATAAAATGAATTGAAATAATCTTGAAAAACAAAAATGAGAAAATTGCAAATAGAAAGTAGACAAAACAATAAACACCATTTGTTACATATTCTTTTTTGTTGCAGATTTAACCAATATGTAGCTTTTTTGGGCTTTACTTGATCTCCCATATTCACAAGGAGTCCCAGAAATTACATTTCAATATCAAAATCACAGTTCTTTTAGAAGAAATGTGCATTTCACATTTAGGTAAAAGTGTGAGTGTGTGTATGTATGTACACACACACACACACGCAATACACATACACAGTCCTACTTGGATGTCTCATCATGTATGGAGGTGATCCTAGGTTTTCGAAAGCTACATTAACGTAGTACAAACTCTGTGGCCCTCCTACCATTTTAGAAAGGCTATGAGTATGAGATGAATGAATTTGTATGTCTATCACCTGAGGACCAACACAGCTAAGTACAAGGCTCATCACTGAGGAAGTCTGATCGCCTGATTAAACCACTATGGTAAAGCTGTGATCTGTGCTAGTGGTGACAGTGATTATAGCAATGAAATCAAAGGTCATTAGATGTATGTCTGTATACACTTACGTAGATGCTTTACACTAGAAATACGTGAGGTCTTTTGTGAAAGATGAAGAAAATAGAACCAGAACAATTAATGCATATCAACTATAGCAATAGGTATGTGTGTATATACATGCATACATACATATATATGTATGTGTGTGTTTGCTTATTTATTTATATGTAAAGCAGCAGCAATTAATCCAGAAGGGGAAAAACACAGAAGAGTAGAGGGTACATGGAAGTAAACAGGCATTTTAAAAAATTATCTTATTCAGGTTACTATACACTAAAAACAAACAAAACCAAATTGTAAATGGAGTTTGTGATAAGATCATTTAAAAATCGTGTTCGCATATTTGAATGTTTTTGTTGAGTTATTATACTTAAAATTTATTTTTTTTAAAATGACCTATTTACAAATGGGTAGATGTATACATCTATTGTTATTCAGTCATTCACTGATGTTTGACTCTCTGGGACCCTATGGACCACAGCACACCAGGCCCTTCTACCCTTCACCACCTCTTGAGTTCTGTCCAAATTCATGTTCGTTGTGTATATATATATGTGCATGTATACGTATGTATGTGCATACAAACTCACATATATGTTTGTATGTGACCTATATACAAAAGTGTTAAGTGAGATTTTTTTTTAATGGTAAATTTAAAAAATTCTATTTTAAAAGCAACACATCTTGTTCCTTTGTTGATACTGTTCAGTCGTTTCAGTTGTGTCCAACTCTTTGTGACCCCATTTTGGGGTTTTCTTGGTAAAGATACTAGAGTGGTATGCTATATCCTTCTCCAGTATGGCTCCATTTTACAGATGAGGAACTGAGGCAAACACAGGCTAAGTGACTTGACCAGGGTCACACTGTTAAGTGTCTTAGACTAGATTTGAACTCAGGTCTTCCTGACTCCAGGCCTAGTGCTCGATCCTCTGCACCACCTAGCTGCCCAGCAGACCAGTAGAACTTTATCTGCAGTAGCACATGATATAACCATAAATAAGTAAAAATAAAAAAAAAATTAAAGTAAAACTCATCAAAATACCCCACAATACAGGGTAAGCACAACTACCTGGTTGCTTGTGGTAGGTGAGTTCTCTGCTTGTGAGGCAGAACCATCGTTTCTTGAAATTTTTTTTTCCAATCCGATTTCTTCCTTGAGCTCTTTTGTACATTTCTCTGTTAAAACAATGCAGATATTTAGGCCCATAGACTCACTTAGGTAATTCAATATTGGTAATACTATCCTTTGAACAGCTCTGTGTATCTAATAACAATTTTGGAAGATTGTCTTCACCTATCTATCTCACATAAACTGAATTTTGCACTTGAGTACTAAGGCATAAGATCTTTATTATTTCAGTACCTATACTTATGTTACATAGCATAAAAAGGTTGGCTGTGTGCTTCTGGGATTAAAGGCAACTGCAGATCAATTTAGTAAAAACATCAAGTACTACCACCATCACCTTATATTTGTTCAGTAATTTCAACTTTTTAAAGGACAATGATGTAGGCATGAAATGTATTATTCATGCATTGAGACAGATGAAGAAACAGCAACAGAGTTACGTGAATTTAGTTACAGTAATATAGCTAGTCAGTGGCAGAGTTGGGTGGGACTAAATCTCCAAAGGATTCTGGCTCCCACAAGCTCATACATTCTGCACTAGAACATGATGTTTAATTTCTTTCCTGTAACATTACTTAAAATAAATAAATGAATGACAACACACACACACACACACACACACACACACACACGATTAAATTACCCTTCTTTTAGATGTACTGGCTCACTCATACCACTGGGTTCTTTACTTTCAGTAGATGAAATTTCTTCCAAGAACTAAGTGAAGAGAAAAGTTTTTTACATAAAAATTACTGACATACTGAAAAAAAGAAGTCAAACTGATCCTCAAATTCAATTTATAACACTTATAACTTGTTCACTATAAAGGTAAAGCTGCTAGTTAATAGAAATTTAATAAACAAAGATTGCATAGCACAAAGGTCCCCAACTTATATCCTCTAAAACTTAATTTTTATGGGAAAATGTATCCTGCACCATGGCAAGAAGGGAATATAGTAATTTAGATCAATAGGTCCCACAGCTACAATTACACTGGCTTGCCCAATGAAATGGAGCCATGTGGTCAGAAAAAGCTTCTCCCTAAACCACTGGCCACCTGGATTCCAGAGAGAAAAGAACAGTGACTGAGAAAATATTCTTCTTCTCAGCCAGGTATGTAAGAAGAAGCTAAGAGTGGCTTCAAGGAACAATTCTTACTGTGGGGTCCAAAGGGGTTCCCTACCATCTTGGGGCCTACTTTCATGTCCCCAAGATAGGTTGGACTATGTGTAATTTGATAGAACTATCAGCTTTATGGCTCGAAGGAAACTTTAAGGTTACATAGTACTATGTGTGATAGGAGGCAGAAGAACAGAGACGTAAAGCCTCATAGTGACAAAGGTTGTACATAAGAGGAAGAGCTGGAATTCAAACCTAGACCTACTGACACCTAGTCCAGTGTCCTTTTCTAACAGTCAGGCTATATGACTCTTCAACCCAGGTACTCCCCAGCCAATAAATAAATTACTAGGTTCCTTCCATGGACACTTGCTCCTTGCTCCTTTGAATGGAATCTTTTAGAAGTAACAAGGGTATTGAGGGAGAAAAAGACAAAGAACACTGCCTTTGGGGATCTCAGTCCTTGAGAAGAGGTACGCAGGAGGATTAGAGGGATTCTCCAAGTAACTACCTCATTTCTTTGTGACCCATAAATGACCACCCCACAAACTAGACAGAACAGAGTTACTCAAGGCCTAAGCTTCCCAACCTCAGCCTCTTTAACAAAACCTAGCAAAGATGATGATGTAGGTAACTAAAATTAAGGAACATTCTTTAGACTTTCTTCTCCTAAGGATTGTCTTTTTCCATAGACTATAAAGAACTGACAGCCAGAAATAGTAAACTAGGGTAGATCAGTGTGAAAGAAGGAACCAGTTACTACATGACTAATGGTCTGACACCTACCAGCTCAGCTATCCTTAAGAGAGTGCCAATAAAAAATCAGACACTAGAATGTATAACATTTTAGAATTTCTAGTGCTGTACACTGCTAGCCTTATGACCAATAATCATGTAGAATATTAGCATATTTGGCTAAAAAAATCTTACCAGTCCAGGCGCCAAGAACAAAATTTGACACTGGGGGTGGAGTATGGTAACAGTCAATGAGAACGTGAGGGGGTGATTCAGGGCAAAGAGAGAACTCTTTAAACTCCTACTATTCTTAAATCTTTTCTTGACTGACATTATCAACTGCATATTTTGATTATATCAGCATATGTTTAGCCATAACCAACTCCAGAAAAAATCATTTCCTGGCACACAGTAGCCAGAAAACACAGGAAAAAAAAGGCCACATCTTTAAAACAAAAGATAGTGCATCATAACCTTGCCAACATAAGTCAGCCCACGATGTCCTACTAATGTTTTAGCAATGTCCTAGAAATAAAAGGACAGCTTAGCTCTGCCTGTTCTTTTGAAATGAGAGAGAATTTATATTCAAAGGCCTCAATAGCTAGTTTTAGTTTTGAAAAACTATCTTTTTTCTTGTTTTGAAATGAAACCTACCAATTTCATCTTTCTGTCGTCATTTTCATTTACTGAATGCTGCCTCTGAGTATGATATACTGGCAACATCCAAAAATAGTCTTCAGTGTAACAAATTTCTTACCTTCAGAGGTACTAGAACACTGTACATATAATTTTTATGAATAAAAACACATTAAAAAGTAATTTCAGAAATGGAAGGGCCTTCAGAAACCATCACCCGGAGCCCATAACTAAACAAAAATCTGACTTCTGATATATCCTCCCTCCCATTCTTCTCCACACCTGGATAAGTGACAAACTCCCTGGGCCTTAACTACAAAACAAGTGGGCTGGATGAGATGACCTCTGAAGTCAATGACTCTAAGATGAACAAATGGTCATTTGGCTTTAACTGATCACTTTAGTAAGGGAGAACCCATTAGTTCTTAAGGCAGTTTATTCCAATTTTAGGCAGCTGTAATTGCCAAGATGTCTTTCCTTATGTCAAGTTAAAATCTGCCTCTTTGCTTCTTCTTAATTTCCAGGACCAAGGAGAACAAGTTTAGTCACTCATGTGACAGTTCTTCAAGCACCTGCAGACAGCTCCCATGCCCCTTCAACCCCCTCCCATGTCTGTCTTCTCTTCTCTAAGTGAAATGTCCATACGTCCCTCGATCAATCTGGATATTGCATTGCCTTGAGTCACTTGGACACCCTTCTCTGATGATGTTTTAGTCTGTCCTTAAAACCCTGAATTGAAAACAGCATTCCGGATGTGATCTGACCCCAGCAGAGAGCAACAGGACTGCTGCATTCTTCATCCTGGACAGCATACCTCTTAATAACAAACCAAGCTACTTTTTGGCTGTCATATCATACTGTTAATTCATGATGAGCTTTCAGTCCACTGAAACCCTTAAAGTTTTTCCACAGAAATCAAGCCTTGTCTTCTCCCAATCGATAAAACCTAAGTATAGTATTTTACACTTACTCCTATTACATGTCATCTTATTTGACTTGACCCATTGTTTTGGCACGCTGAGGTCTCTTGATACTGGCTTTGTCATTTAATGTACTTGATATCCCTCTGAGTTTTATGTCATCTGTAAACGTGACAAGCATGACATTAATGACACTGAAGGGCCATGGAAAGATCCCATGGTCACTAGTATATTGGGGGCCTCCTCCACGGTGATTCCAAACCATCAATGACTATTCTCTTTTGGTCTGATTGTTCAACTATCCACCTTGTCTACATTCTATACTTCTCCATGTTGCCCACAAGTATAAAATGATAAGACTTCACCAGTTAACAGGCTAAAATTTTCCTCTGTGAGTTTTTCAAGTATTATTAGTAAGGCAAGTCACGTCTAAAATCAGCAACTTTTTCAAAGTAAGAGCTTGAAATATTAAGTATTCAATGTGCTTTTTACGGCTAGATAGAATCATTACTTTCATTTATTGGAAACCTCATGTTTTCATATATAGTGGCATACATATATTAACTAACTATAATTCTTTCCACTAACTTAACCTTGTCTTACTTAATATTCACTGACTTTAAATTAAGTATTATATTTGAAAATAAAAGTAGAGTCTTTAAAAATATCCTACAAGTAGGGCTTTTCATTAAAACAGACCAGCCTCTCTCTTACCCTTAATCATTCCATAATAGTGATGGTTATTTACTTATTTTGGGGCTGTACAATGAGACAATGGAATTGCTGGCTTCCAGGGTTGAATGACTTACTGCTTTATAGCATGTACTGTAGGATTTTAAAGTTTAAAAAAGAAATTAAATTTAGCTTTAACCCTGAAAACAACATGAAGAAGTTTGGAGAAAATGATAAAAATAATTCACAGAAAAACATTTCTTTTTTTGCCTTTCATGTCTAAAATATACTATTTTATTAATTCAATTACAAATGGTAAAGAATTCTTAAGTATTAACAGAGAAGAATATTATCATACCTTTTTAACTGCTTCAATATATCTCTCTTCTTGAAACATTTTGAAAAACTCGCACATGAATGTCTCTTTGAAACTTGACTAAGAAAGAAAACAAGATTTCTGTTAGTAGAAGCCTAAATGTATCAGTATAACACGATTCATACACCAAAAGACAAGACATGAGGGAGTCCAAAAGGCAATGGAAGAGGTCTCATAAATGAATGGGGTGAGCAGATCTTGCACTAGATTTCTCCCACCTCCTATCCTTAAGATTTACTTCAGAGACCACAGTGAAGCTGTGCAGAGAGCTGCTTAGGGAAGGCAGAAGACTGCTGTGTTTTGTCTATTATTATTTGCAGGAAGGTAGGGGGAAGGGATGAGAAAGAAAGAATTTGTGGTTATGATGGCTACAGATTTGAAAATGGCTATATTAGAAAGATAACTACACTCACCTTGCTTTTAGACAGACTTCCCCAACTTCCCAAAGTCTGAATGGCTTTTGAGATGAGAGTTAATGTTCTAACTGTCTGTGCATCCTAAAGAATTTTCAAAAAAAGCAATTATGTTCTTGATAAAGTATCAACAAATATACTTTATGTCAAAAGTAGACATGACAGGTCAAGGAGCCTATTTTTTTCCCCAAAGCAGTAGGGTAAAAAAGTAAAGTAGAATAAATTTAAGTCAATGATTCAGCTGAAAAGGAAATTATTTCAGGCTCAAGTCACAACCTGGAGAAATCAAAGACTAAAGAGTTCAAGTCAACTGGAAAATTTCTCCTGAAAAAGTCAGATTTTAAAAGACAATTATTTAATCAATGAATATATATTAAGCATATTATCCCTTTCCTTAAGTTTCTGATACACCACATCGATTTATTCATTTTTAGGATGTCCACCTTATCTCCCTTTTATCTGAAAATAATAGCTCATAAACATACTCTGTTCAATGGTCTTACATACGTTCAATGGTTTCCATGGCACTCATGACCAACCTTTCTAGCTATATTAATAAGACAAGAGAAATTAAAGGACTACATATCAACAAACATGGAAAAACCTTGGAAATTAATAATGAATTTAAATGGGAGGGAGAGAGAGAGAGAAATCACAAGGGAGATCTAAGGAAGATGAAGGAAAGGATTTTAAGGGTTGTCATTAAATATATCACATACGTGTGTGTGTGTGTGTGTGTGTATATGTGTGTATGTATGTATGTTTATATCATCACTTAAATTTATTCACAAGATTTCATTTAATTCTTAACTCAGTAACTACATATGGCCACCTGGAGTTCTGTTTATATATACAAAGTTCTTCTACAATTCTCTGCCAAAACAATAAAATTCTTAAAGACTGTTACTAGGTAATTTCAAATTTGGTGTTAAACTCAATATTCTATCTATGTTCAACCATCTCTCCTGAACAGAAGAATGGAGGAAAGGCCATTCTATGTGGCATAGTAAAATGAAAAAGAAATGAGGCATGGAGTCAGAAGTTTGGCTATCACCTAATAGGTGTCAACCTCAGTTTTCTCATCTGTAAATAGAGATATACTACTTGTATTACCAACCTTTCAGGGTCACTGTGGAGAAAAAGTGGAGGAGAAAATCATATGCAAATTGCCTAATGTCATAAAAATGTGAGCTATTATTCTTCCCCATTACAGAAGGCTGGCATATTTCAAGTCCCGGACCCTACCTGGTGGCTGGCAATCCTCTTATTTATTTCTTGATGATTTCTGGTTTACTACATTCCTCACATTGTTTATTTTAAACCATTTTTATGCTGATCCACTCAAAAGATTACTTACCTCCTACTTTACTAAAAAGGTTGAGCACATTTGATAGGAGATTCCTTATACATCTTTCTTTTCACCTCAAAATAATTTCTTCCTTTCTCAAATGAAAAGACGCTCCCTCTTTTAAACAGCAACTCTACCCATGTCCCCAAATCATGAGAGAATTCTTATCTTTGTTTTCTCTAGTATCTATATATAGACTCTGACTTTCCAGTAAATGACATCTTTTTTTATTTTTACCACCAAATTTCTCAAGAATGGTTTACTACATTAACTTCCTTTGTTACTTTAATATCCCATTCCTCCTCAGTTTCTAGTAATACAGCTTCTACCCCCCCAATCTCTTCCTGAAACTGCTCTTTCAAAGCTCACCAGTGATGTCCTGATCAAGAAATCCAATGGCTTATTCTCACTCCTTACATTCCCTGACCTCTCTGCAACCTGCAACAGTATTACTAATCAGGTCATCACTAAGATTCTTTTCTCTCTGGCTTCCCTCATAGCTCTTAAATGCTGGTCAGACACTTCCATTTGGACATCCCACTACCAACGACGTCTAAATGGCCTATTTACCCTCCTCCTCTCAACGTAGAGGAATCATACCCTCGTGGCTAAAGCCTCTGTGGGAGTGCTTTGTTCTTACCTTCTCTACCCTTTAGAGGGAACTCAGGCTTACAAATCCTCTTTTCTTAGAGCCATTCTTAACTCAGTTTGAGTACTTTACTTGGGCAGGTCTATCTAAAATTTAATATGTAACTGCATTTTTGAGAAAGTGGAAACTACATATTGTATACAAAACTTTGGTATTTTTGCCAAGGGATCATGCGACATGATTATATACTAGAAAATTGCTGAAACAGTATCTCTCTCCAGCTGTGTCCTTTGTTGCCCTGACCTATTGGTGTGGTGTACCGCCAGTCAGCAGGGACCCTCCCAATCCACAAGGGGCCAGGTTCAGGGTACAGTGGGGGTAGGGCCAAGGGTACATGAGCAGGTCACCTCAGTCCTGATCTAAGGTTCAGAATGTGGTCTGTTATACACCTTCTCCACTGGAATGAAGGTTCAGGGAGGATGTGGTCAGGACCTTTTTTTGAGGTACCATGAATACC